AGCCTCCTGAGTAGCTGGGTTTATAGGCATGTGACACTCTGCCCAGCTCTTGATGTTTTAATGCATATACTAGTGTATATTTCCTTAAATAGAAACACGCACACACCAAATCAGAATATACTTTCAGTTCTACAATTTGACAATACATGTAGTTGATTTATAGCAAGTATGCCACGAATTGAGGGGCTTGTTTTGTTTTTGCAGGGCTGCCAATATGCTGTCTTCATGGGATGGTAAAGAAAATATCACTTGGGCCCCATCTAATATGAAATCCTGAGGTGGGTATAGAGAAGGTGCTAGGGCTTTGATAGTGCAGTTTCTTTCTGAAAGAAAAACCATCATAGTGCACCCGCCCCCAACTCATTTAACAAGGCTTGATGGAGTGAACAATTTCATGGCAGGCACTGCATTAGGCTCTGGGTATTCTGAGCTCAGGAAGAGGCAGGGCCTCTACTCTCACGAGGCTTTACAGTCTGCTCTCCATCCAACTCCTGTCCCTAGAGGATCTGCTCAACTCATTCAAGACAACATTTACTGAGCACCTATCGTAAAGCAAGCACTACTCTAGACACCATATAAAGACGAATAAGGTTCCAAACCTGCCCTTAGGAAACGTTAAGTCTAACAGGGAACTAGGTTATGTCTCAGCAAGGACTGTATGATATGTGCATGGCAGTGTTACAGAGGCAAGAAGAGGGGTCACTTCACTTAGCTTTGGGGTGGTGGGAGGGAGGGGTTGGGAAGCTTTCCTGAATTGGGCGGAACTGGGGTGGGTGTATTCCAGACAGAGGGGCCAATGTGAGCAGATACTTCCTCCAGGGTACAGCAGGGGTCTAGGGCTTCCCAGGCATAAGGCAGGGTCAGATATGGAAGGCTTTGCATGCCTCTAAGGGGCTGGGATATACCCTAGGTGACAGGGAGATGGTTATTCAGGCAGCAGGAGGATTGAGGCGGGGGTGTAAAGAATCAGAGTGCCCACTCTTCCAGCCCTAGGAGGTGGGAACCAACTCGGCAGCCTGTGTTGCAGACGAATTCAGAGGAGAAATGATGAGAACCTAAACCAGGGCAGGCGTAGAGATGACCTTAAGACCTATCTAGTGTGTAAAACTGCCAGGGCTTGAGAACCAACTAGATGTGAAGGTTGCGAAAAAGGTAAGTGTTATGGTCTGACGTATCCCCCAAATCATGTTGAAATGGACTCCCCAGGATGATGGTATTTGGAGATGGCATCTTTGGGAGGTAATTAGCTCATGAAGGTGGAGCCCTCATGAATGGGATTAGTGCCCTTATAAGAGAAGGCCAGAGAGCAAGCTTACCCTCCACCCACTGTGAGAACATGAGAAGCTGGCCGCTGCATCCCAGAAGAGGGCCCTCACCAGAACCCGGCCATGATGGCACCATGATCTTGGACTTCCAGCCTCCTGAACTGTAAGAAATAAATGTCTGTTCTTTATAAGCCACCCAGTTTGCGGTATTCTGTTACAGCTGCAGGAGCTAAGACTGGAGGGGTCGGGGCAACTCCCAGGTTGATGGTGTTATTGACCGGCAGAGGAAATTCAGTCTCCCTGGAAGTTGGCTTAAAATAATTGTTTTTAAAGATTTCTGCACTATCTGCAACCCTCTGTACTTGTGCTTTACCCTCGGTATATAATCCCTTTTCTGTCTGAAACACTCTCAGTCCTACCTTTTCCTCCAATCTTATTTAACTGAGCCAAAAAATCTTCCACACCTCCCATTGTCTTCAACCTAGCAAAGCCGGTTGAGTCTGCCAACAGTCCCCACGATCCGGACGTTGCTCTTGAAGGACTCACTGTGAGAAGGGCCCTCAGCAATCCCATTCCCAGAGCTCTTCGCAGTACTGGGTTCTGCAGACATGCTTTGAAACGCTCTTCCTTGCTTTCTTGGCATTGCACTCTCCCTCCTGGCTTCCTCCAACCCACAGCTGCTCCCCTGCTGGCTCCCCTCCTCCTCCTCCAGATTATTTTCCTCATATGCTCCATAGGTGATGCCACCGCACTGCAGCCTGACCTCCATCTCCACGTTATTGTCTCTCAATTCTAACTCCAGATATTATTTTTAAATTCCAAAGTCTAGTATCCAACTGCCCATATTCAGTCTAGTCCCATTGAATCTTTCTAAAACTCATCCTTTCTCCCATCCCCTGGCACCTGTCTTAGCAAATGGTCCTGCCATCCACTCATTCCCCAAAGCCTGGTATCTGGGCACTGCTGGCAGCCACACAGATGCAGCACTCTCCCGCCCCTCACCTTTCCAGCTCCTGTTTACCCTAAGATGCTCTTCCTTTCCTTAAAAACTGTATTTGACGGCCGGGCGCGGTGGCTCAAGCCTGTAATCCCAGCACTTTGGGAGGCCGAGACGGGCGAATAACAAGGTCAGGAGATCGAGACCATCCTGGCTAACACGGTGAAACCCCATCTCTACTAAAAAAAAAATACAAAAAGCTAGCCGGGCATGGTGGCGGGCACCTGTAGTCCCAGCTACTCGGGAGGCTGAGGCTGGAGAGTGGTGTGGACTCAGGAGGCAGAGCTTGCCACAAGCTGAGATCCGGCCACTGCACTCCAGCCTGGGCGACAAAACTGTATTTGACGTGTACAAACATTAACTACAAAACCACCATACCAGATTTTAGCTTATCATTCCACTTTGCCTTTATTTTTTATATTTAAGAACATATTTAATATGTACAAAACTCTTATCTATTAGTTATAAAGCATAATATATTAATAGTATATAGTAAACACTCGTAAGTCTACCAGGAGGAACCAGAACAGCCGCATAACTTGACATCTACCTATGTGCTTCTGTCCCTTCCACTTCCTCCTTCCGTGGGTAATTACTATGCTCAATTTTGGTTTATCATTGTTACCTTTTTTTTTTTTTAATAGCATAGTTTTATTGTATATGTATGCTTAGACTACATATTCTTTGGTTTTGCTTGTTTTTGAGCTCAATAAAAATAGTACACCACATGTGGTCTCTTTGAACTTGCTACTTTTCCTCAATATTTTCTGAGATTCATTCTTATTGTTAGCTACAGCTGTAGTTCACTCATTTCCACTACTGAATAATATCCCGTGGGATGAATATATATATATCTCTAATTATTCACCTATTTTCCTGCAGAGAGACATACATTTCACTTTCTCCAGTTATGAACTATTATAAATACATTATATGAACATTCTTACCCATTCCTCCTAGGGGCCACATACAAGAGTTTGCTGGACGTACAGGTGGGAGTTGGAAGTAAGATCATAAGGTCTGCAAATGTTCAAGTCTGTGAGGGAAAATTGTTTTTTAAAGCAGTGGTGCCTGTTTACACATCCACAATGTTGTACAAGTCCCTACAGATCTAACACCTGGTATTGTCAGACCCAACTTTTGCAAATCTTATGGATATAAAATGGAATCTCATTGTGGTCCTAATTTGTATTTCCCTGACCACCAATGCTACAGAACATCTATTTATTTAAAAGCCCTATTTATTTCCTCTTGTGTAGTCTTCTCTATTTTTCTATTTTTTTTTTAAACAGGAATTCTCTATATTTGTGATTATGAATCCCGTGTCAGTTATTTGTATTATAAATGTCTTCTCAAGTTGTGGCTCATCTTCTCACTTCAAGTGTTTGCTTAATGTAAGTCTTTAGTTTTAACAGAATTCACTTAACCACCTTGTCATTTGTGATTACTACTTTATGTCTCAAGAGATTCTTTCCTGCCCTAAGGCTTTTTTCATCCAAACACTGACAATTTTTGCTTTCTGTATTAAAGCCCTTAACATATTTGGAACTTATCATTGGGTAAGGTGAGATAAATTAAAATTTCTTTTTCTCCCACATGAATAGCCATTGTTCTGGGACTACTTAGGGAGTGATCCTTCCTGTCCCCACTGACCTGCCATGTCACCAGGTCATTTTGCAAAGGTCAACATATGCCTAGGCAAGTTTCTAGACCCTTATTTTGTTTCCCTGCTCATAACGCCTACCTCTGCACCACATGACACTGTCTTGACAATAAAACTTGGTATCACATAGGGTGCGTCTCCTCAATCTTTCCTTCATATGTAGAAGCATTTGGTAATTTTAAGTCCTTTACTAATCCATATAAATTTAAACACCTGCTTGTTTCATTCAATAAAATCTCTGTTGGAATTTCCAATGAAAATGGTATTAAATCCATAGATCAATTTGGGGAGATCTGATACTTTTACAATCTTTAATATTCCTATTCATGAACAAAGATAGTTTCTCATTTGTTCCTCCCTTGCTTCTTCATCTTCATCCTTCAAATCTCAAATCAGGACTCCAACGCTACCTTCTCCTGAATATTTCCACCACCATCTTCAAGTAGGATGAGTGTATATTTTGCATGCAAATTTTTGAGATAACTGCAATCATCCAAGAAAAAGATGACATGAGTGAGTTTGAGGCTTGTTGCTTGAGTGGTGGCATCATTCTTCATTATTGAATACATTGAGAATTGGAGGGGAATAAGATGGTAAGAAATGAGTGATGTTATGCTGCCCACCTGTCCAACTATGCACAGGATATCAAGAGCCCAGCTGAGAACCTGCTCAATCCTGAAAACAATTAGAAGAAGTTAACAATCCTTAACAGTAACTTTCTCTCATTTCCTTTTTGTTTCCTCACAGGCACGGAAATATGAAATTATGGGAGGATGAAAATGCCCAGAGAGCATGGCTGCTTGACCACACTGGGGCAAACGGCTTCAGTGTTTCTGACAAGCAAGCAGTGAGAGCATGCCTTTTGCCAAAGGCAGTTCTGCAACCATTTAATCCAGCCTTTAGAAAATGAGGTCTTCTGAAGAAAACAGAGCTGTACCTTCCCCGTCAGAATCCACTGTTACAACCACTTAGATTAAAATGCCCCATTTCTCACAGTATCGTTTTGTCACAGGGTCACACTTCTCTATTCAACTCAGTTTCAGGCTTTTCTTCTAAGAGGAAAAAAAGAGGACTAAGTGGCCTCCTAGATTCCACTCTAAAAATAGAAAAAAGCAAGTTGACTTGCTTTGAAAGGCAGAAGACCTGTCTTCAGTCTGTCCCCATCTCAGAGGGACCAGGGAAACCACAGGAGCCCTGCTTTTCACGCAAGAGAAGCAGGCGTGAAAAGAGTCTTCTCTTCAGAGAAGACCTTGCTCTTCACGCAAGGTCCTGAAAACACAGCACCTGTTTTCCAGACACTGTAGGAAGACCCTGCTCCTCTGCAAGGTTCCACTAAATAGTCTTTGAAAACCAGAAGCAGGGAAGTGTCAGCCAGATGCACACAGGATTTTTGTTGTTGTTATTTTTAAGGCACTCCAGGTTGTGTTTCCTTGAGGATCATCAAGAACAAAAAAGGCAAAAAAAAAAAAAAAAAAAAAAAAACATAGTCTGTATCGTATCCCAAAATGGGTCCAAGCCATTTCTCAACC